AGGCCTAAAAACTACTTGGTGTACTCATGTTTTCCTCCAGTAATGAAGGCTTATTGCTTATATGCTTTCAGTTCATGCTCAAGAGTCAAAAAGCCAGTAATGGTATTCATGTCTCTTCTGATCCAAGTGGCACAAAACTACAGTAGCCACAACTTACACTTTCGAGTTACGGTAGCTGTAGTAGCTCTGAGGCATCATTCTGCTGGAGAGCGTTGTGCTCTGTGTCTCCGTAAGGTGCATGCATGAGAAGGGAACCGTCATGGCAACATTTCACTAGTGGGTCTGGAGAAATCATGTCTGCATATTGATTCCGATCCATGTTTTTATTCTGAGTAGGTTCATTACTATGTTAGTTCAGATCACAAGTGCACCCATGGAATAAATTTCTTGATTGTGTCTGCCTACTGTGCTTTGGGTTGTCTTTGAGAGGTGACAAACTGTCTTCCTTTCAGATGGTACTATACTGAAAAGATGCACTCGGGTAACATACCTAATGCACTCCAGCTGTTGCTGGGAACGTACAGTCTATGGGACTAAACTGGAGTGAGGCCAGTGTGAACTCCCCTGAATGGGTGTTGAGTCCTCAGCACTGTTTTGCTCTACAGATACACTCCTCTTGCACCGTACTATTTGCTAATGTAGGCATAGGAAACTTAGATCATAGAATGCATTGGGCTGGAAGGGACCCCCAAAGGTCGAGTCCAACCCCTCTGCATTGAGCAGGGACATCTTTAGCTGGGTCAGGTTGTGCGGAGCCCATCAAGCCTGATCTTGAATGAATCCAGGGATGGAGCCTCCACCACCCTTCTGGGCAAACTGTTCCAGTGCTTTACCACCCTTATGCTAAAGAACTTCTTCCTAATATCCAATCTAAATCTACGCGTTTCTAGTTTAAAGCCATTGCCCCTCGTCCTATAGCTACGTGCCCTTGTAAACAGTCCCTGCCCAGCTTTCCTGTAGGCCCCCTTTAAGCCCTGGAAGGCCACTACAAGGTCTCCTTGGAGTCTTCTCCTCTCCAGGCTGAACAACCCCAACTCTCTCAGCCTGCCCTCACAGGGGAGGTGCTCCAGCCCCCTGGTCATTTTTGTGGTCCTCCTCTGGACCCGCTCCAACAGGTCCATGAACTTCTTGTATTGAAGGCTCCAGAGCTGGATGCAGCACTGCAGGTGGGGTCTCACCAGAACAGAGCAGAGGGGGAGAGTCACCTCCCTTGACCTGCTGGCCACACTTCTCTTGATGCAGCTCAGGATGCAATTGGCTTTCTGGGCTGCAAGTGCACATTGCTGGCTCATGTCCAGCTTTTCATCCACCAGCACCCCCAAGTCCTTCTCGGCAGGGCTGCTCTGTTTTAAAAACATTGTAAAACACTGTTAAACTTACCACTAGGTTTCTTATACAGGAGTCCTTTGCCATATATTGTAGAGCATCTCAGTTATCACCATAGATCTTCACAGTGCTGAAACTTTAACCCAAGTTCATGTATTGAGAGGAAGTTATTTAAGGTCACGTAAAGACATATGTAACAGAGGTACAAGTATAATTTAGATTGGTTAAGTCTTAGTTTAATGCCTGTATCAAAAACATCCTTTTTCCAGAATAGATTAAAAAGGAGGAAAATCCTAACAGCCGTAATTCAAATACGCATCTGGCTTTGTAACTGGAGAGTCCTTTCATGACTAGTACTTTGTGATATTTTTGCTGTGACATTTGATTGGCAAAACACACTGCTGCAGGCATACCAGAGCGATACTGGGACGTTAATGATTGGTTTTGTCCCTCTGCCATTAGAGTCAACACTTCCTCTGTTCAGGTTTTTGTGCCATACCTATTGCTGTGACCTCTGAGATGCTCATCATTCGGTTGTCTGGGATTAAAAAAAGAGAAATCAATATTTATTTTTTGGTAATCAGGCATATGCTGCAATCTCTGCCTATTACTTGGGGGACTTACTGTACATGTATGTATTCCCAGGCAACATTAGACCTGATGCAAACTGACAATACTGCGTGCACACAGTAGGCCAAGCAGTTCCAGAAACATACTGAAATTACTGCGTATTCACAGCATATTCATTCCATGCAGGCACAGTAACGTTGCCAGAGGGAGGAAAAGGTACCAGCTAGGAGCAGTTTTTCTAATATTTCTGGAGAAAGTAACTCAGCCTGCATTCTTGCTCTTGGAAGCACGGTGGGCTAGGTCAGTTGTTCTCATGTGCTTTGTGTATCCCCTTAAGCCTCAAGTAGTGTTTTCATGTCTTTCTTGTCTTACTATGCTGGCATGAGAGAGAGAGAACTCCTGAGCAGACTCCTCTGCCAAGGAACAGGCGGAAGAAAAAACTGCTTTGCACTTTGTGGATCTCGTGTGTGCTGCGTTTGGGATGGACATTGAATATGTTCTTCTTTGGATGAGTGTTTCTTCTGCAGTTCGGGCTGCATGAAATTTCTTCCGCAACTTGAACCAGCAAAGAGACTTCTCGGGAAAGGATTGCATTACTTCTGTAACAGAAGTGAAAATAATCGCATTATTAATAAATTAGATGTCAGGCCATCATGCCTTTGACTTGAAAGAATAGGAATTTTATGATGTTGCATTTTATTTAATTTGTATCTGTACAAGTGAGCTTAAAGCTGTGAATCCATGCAAACTTTAAGAAAACGTTTGTTTTTATCCCCTAGGCTACTCGACATGCAGAAATGGTGGCGATCGATCAGGTCCTTGACTGGTGCAAGCAACACAACAGAGATTATACAGAAGTGTTTGCACACTCGATCTTGTACGTAACTGTAGAGCCTTGTATCATGTGTGCAGCTGCCGTGCGCTTGATGAGTATCCTTTCACGCTGGGAAATCACACGTCAAAATGTTACTCTGTTGGCAGTGAGCCCACAGAGAAGGGCTTGATGCTGTCAGGCAAAGCCAACAGGGGTTGGGAGTCTGCACCCACTTCCACTTACTGCATGGTAAATAGTGAGAGACTCAAGAACGAAAGAGAAATGGTGCCATTGTGACCAACAATGATTTCCCTTAAGGATGTAAAAACACATTTTAGAGATACCTGTTACTGTGTAAAATGAACTAATCTCAGTTCAGTGTTCAGTTTTGAGTGTTGTAACAATCATCAAACCATGGCTTTGTATGCCTCTGCTTTGGGATTCATGCTTCTCTTTTTCTGAGGAAAGCAGGATGTGCATCTTCAGAAGCACATCCTGCATTACTCAGAAGTAAGTTCTGATTTTATGAGGGAGGAATTGTAGTGCAAACTAATTTAGTTTGAAAAGTACAAGCACATTTTAGTGAAATTTAATGACTACTTAAATCAGGGCACTGTACTTCCTGCTTGCTTTTCACTTAAATTTAATACCTTAACTCGTTCACATAAATTCCACGGGTCGTATATGGCTGTCGAAATGAGCGATTTGGAGGCTGTGGCTCAGTTTTGAGCATCTCATCTGATGATATGGTAGACACAGGAGAACCATTTGAAGTAAGCTATAAAATGTTTTCCTTTGTTTTTCAGCCAGGGTTCTGTGCTGAGCTTTGTTACCATGCCTTGAGAATGTTGTGTATCAGTTCAAGAGAACTCAGGTGAAAGATGATCAGAAGTCAAGTAAACTTGACTTTCCAAGAAAATAATGAAAAAATTAAGTCCTTTAATTTAAGAAAATTGATGAAAAGTCTGATGACAGTCTTAAAATAAATAAAAGGAGGAAAGGAAAGAATTCTCATGGAACAAGGGAAGGAATAAATGTATCTAAAAGATGTGTCATACTTAGAACAGTAAGCATATGCTGCAGGAAGAGATGAGGGAAAAAATATTTTACACTGCAGAATGTACAAACACATAACCAATAAAGATCAAGTAACAGCAACTTACTAAATTTTTAGCTGAGCCACTAGAAATGATTGTATTTTTGCTCCCACTCTGTCCATATATGAGGTAAAATATATTAGCTTAGATCTACTTCATATAGTTCAAATTTCAAAACAAATATGGACTGCAAAAGTAGCAGAGGAGATTTAGTTTGGGTGTTGGGCAACTTTATGAGCAGTAAGGATACTGAAGGACTGGAACAGAGTGGGAGAATGGAGTGTCCTTGTCATTTGAGAAAGGCTGGACAGGCATTCAGTGGAGGTATAGTATATAGAAATCTAGATGGTTTACAGCATTATACTAGTATATGCCTATACATACGTATAGATAGAGAGTATCTATAGCATTATGTTTATTACATTACACACAGTTGTAGATGATCCTGCCTTATACAAGGGTACTGATTACGGTTCTTGGAGTTCTTTTCCACATTAAACATTTATGATTTAATGAATGTAAAAAACAAGTAATCTATTTCAGCAATGTAAATAAGCACTAAAGGATCAAGGATTAGAAAGAATTTCGGTCAGCAAGCCTATACTGTTTGGCAGTCCAGTGTAAACATATTAAGCATCTTCCTGTCAGGGTGTTTGTGAGACCGGCGTCTGAATTAATTTGTATAGTCAGTACTGGAAGAGTGTTCATTTGCTAACATTGGCATGTGGTATACATTTTTTCTATATGCTCAGAAGAAAGAAAGGGGAATCATAGAATCATTTTGGTTGGAAAAGACCTCTAAGATCATCAGGTCTAACCATTATCCTTACACTACCAAGCCCACCACTAAACCATGTCCCTAAGCACCACATCTGTACGTCTTTTGAACACCTCCAGGGATGGTGACTCCACCACCTCCCTGGGCAGCCTGTTCCAATGCCTGACCACTCTTTCAGTAAAGAAATTTGTCCTAATGTCCAATCTAAACCTCCTCTGGTGCAGCTTGAGGCCGTTTCCTCTTGTCCTATCGCTTGTTACTTGGGAGAAGAGACTGACCCCCACCTCACTACAACCTCCTTTCAGGTAGTTGTAGAGAGCGATAAGGTCTCCCTTCAGCTGCCTTTTCTCCAGGCTAAACAGCCCCAGTTCCCTCAGCTGCTCCTCATCAGACCTGTTCTCCAGACCCTTCACCAGCTTCGTTGCCCTTCTCTGGGCCCGCTCCAGCACCTCAATGTCAGTCTTGTAGTGAGGGGCCCAAAACTGCACCCAGGATCCGAGCTGCGGCCTCACCAGTGCTGAGTACAGGGGCACGATCACCTCCCTGGTTGCTCTATTTCTGATACAGAAGATTCTTGCTACAAGTCCTTCCTTTGTTTCTGCTGTGGGACATGTAGGTGTGATTCATTATTTTCTAGTGTGGATGGAGATTCATTTAGTGTTAGTGACATTTAAATGCTTTGTTGTTAATGTTCATGGCCTGGAAAAATATTTTGGGAAGACCAAGTCTGAGAGGTGACTGTTAAGAATAAAGAATAGATGTGTGGATGAATGTCTTCTGGTAGTAGTCTTACCTACAAATACCTAGGTGTATGTCTGTTACATTCCCAAGTGCTTGAGGCGTATATGGAGTAAGTTGGAAATACATTAATAAGAAAGATATTGGAGATTGCATAAAAATTTTATGTAAGTTACTAAGAGAGTTCGTTTTGCCTAACTTGAAGTTATTAGGGAAATTACTTGCTTTACTAAGCCTCAACATAGTATTTTTCAAGTGTATTGGGTATTGAACCTGAAAAGGAGATTTTCTGACCCCCAAATAGTTAAAGGTACCTGTTAAATTAGTGGATTAGACAGTACAGTTGCTTACAATTATTGTGTACTTAAGGCATTATAGTGAAGCACAGAATGTGTAATTCTCAGATGCACTCATGAACATCATTCTAATTTGAACAGTGCATTTCTGGCTATCGTGCCAAAGAAGCAGTGGAACTGTTAAGAGCTTTCTACAGACAAGAAAATCCCAATGGTAGGTTTCACATTAATGGATCCATTTTGATCCCAACCTAATTTAAATAAATGCTGGCACTGGTATTACTGTAATTCATTTCTGATGTTTTTTCTCCCTTTCTGTTTCTTCTTGGCAGCACCAAAATCAAAAGTACGGAAGAAGGACCATCGTAATTAGCCCTACGCTGATGGAGACAGAAACTTACCAAAAAATGATACGTGAAGGTTTCTTCAGTGTCCTTCTCTTTTAAAAAGTACAGTCCAGTTAAACAGTGTCTGACGTTCTGTACAGATTTTATACTAAGAGGAAAATTACTACCTGTTCCTGTGTTTCTATGTATGTGATTTCTTCTTATCACACATGACCAAACAGACGAATAAGTGGCCGTTTTTAGAAAGAGGGAAATTTATGGCTCAAGTTCACTTGTTTACGGCCATTAAAATGATGCCATTCTATACGACGCGTTCTAGAATATTTTCTTTCCTTCTGTCTCTGGAGAAGCATCTTGCTTTTCACTAGTAAATATTTGCTTGGGCGAGTAAGTAAATCTCTTGGAAGGTTACATTTGTAAGACCTTCACAGTCCTTGGGTGTATGTTTAATCAAAAGGCATACAGGGAATTATGCTGTCCTTGAAGACTTGAGGTAAGACCATTGTAATGGTTCTTCATTGGTTTTTACACGCTCTTTAGCACAAGCCGAATTTTCAGACACAGCTTCTGAAAGTCGCATACATATGCAGACAGGGGTATGTCTTGGTTCGTGTATGCTGTTGCTTCACAAGGGTAACCAGCGTCACTGGGCCGCACAGCATCTTCATACAGAGTTGTGGAGAAACTCTCCACACCTCTGTTCAGACCGTCCGCTCCTCTTGGGAATATTAGCATAGGAAATGCTTTGTCGTTAAGAATCCGCTAAGAAGTTGAAGTTGTTCTCAGCTACTAAATTACAGTAACTGAGATGGGCAGGTAGATGTGAAAACCAGGAAATGAAATTGGTGGTAATATGAAGAAAATTATATGTGAGATGTTTATCTTTTTGTAGTGTTGGTTGGCTTTGTCATTTCCATGTGCTTTGCTTGGCCATGCAGTAATTTATAATCCAGAAGAGGGCCTTACAGTTCCACTAATGAATTAAGAATACAAGTGCAGTTCAATCTGGATTATATACCTCTTGGTGGGTACTTACCTTAAGCATGAAACGGTTTGTAGTTTATTCGGCCGATATTCAGAAATTTGAGAAATGCCCTAATGTTTTTTTTTTTTATAAATGCAAAACAGTGGTTACAATTCTGTGACTAAAAAAACCTGAATACAATTAAACCTTTTAGATACTTCAAATAAAGACTTTCAAAAGTGTTTTTTAAAAGAGCATTAAAAGCCTTACTTGGTCACCATTGCTCCTAATAGCTTAGAATTTGTATTTTTTGTATTTATTTATTGTTTACAAAGTGACATGGGAAAGAAGATTTTCTGACCTCCATAACAGCTGTTTTCAGCATTTAGAAATAGTATTCCTTTCACTGATGCCTGTGGCCTGTCCTGTTCTCTTGACCACTACTTGCAGCACCCTTTGAGTCTTTTCTTTTCCATCGCCAAAATAAGTTATGACTGCGTTTGTAGATTTCGTCAGCTTCGGAGCTCTGAGGGCTCATGAACCAGCCAGCTAAGCTGGAAAAGCCATTTGGGAAAAGACCCTTTTTAATGACCGTGATGGCTTTATGGGAAAGAAATGGTCACACCTGTGGTTACGGTGTTTGCCTGGTGATGGAAGATGGCTGTTTATCTCTACAGAGATGTACATTCAGTTCTCAACTGCACCATCATTTTCTTATACCTTGAAGAAGTCGTTGAAGTGCAAATTAAAGGAAGATG